ACTTGGACTTCTGCAATTTATGACTACAAAAACTTTTTAAAATCATTTTCTTGCCATCGACAGGTGTCACATGTCAACAGTTATTTTGGAGGGCAGAAGCAAAAAAATAAATCAAATGAAAACGCAGCAGTAAATTAACTGTCAGACGACACACCGCCCTGCAAAACTGACATGACTGTAAAAAACAGAAACTACTTTTTTTTTGGCTTGCTGCCGATCCATTCTTGGCCTTTTCAACAATTTTCATCTCATTTTGTTGTTGTCTCTCAAGGATCGAAACATTTTATATCTCCAAACTTGCACCTGAGGAGGAGTCATACTCATTTGCAAATATGAATTGAATCCCAGAAAACGGTTAGGTGATCCGAGGTGACTGGTCGAAAGAAGCTGAGGTGAACACAAAAGAACGAGTATCGGTAGCTCAATTTCATTTTTCAGGAAATTGCAGGGAAACATGCAGATTTTTTCACTAAGTTCATTTTAGTAAACGTCTGCGACAACCTCTCCAACTTCAATACAATACTGACGTTTAAAATGTTTCTTGGAAACTACTCAAAAGGGTTGTTACGCTTCACTTGCAGAGATGTTACATGTCTTTTGTACACAATCTGAAAGTGAGCACCCCTGTGACTTCACAATGAATGATTTGTCTACGTCTGCCTTGTTCCACTGCCGTCCTTTGTTGAGACAGCTCTGCTCACTCCGGGTGAAGGGACCAGCGAGAAAACAGGTGCTACACTTCTTGAACACTGTTTGGTGGTTTCTCCTGCATATCTGACGCAGTAGCATAGGCAGCTTATGGACGATGATGTCTCTTTTGTAAAGTCACGAAGCAGGTGCCTATTGCACACTTTCCTACATACATCCTCGAACTGTAACAGAGGTACACTGTTCCTGATTTTTTTACAGATGCCTAAAAGTCCAACAATTGACAGAGCACGTGGGGTAGAGAGACAAATATTGAACTGGATTTTATAAATCCACAACTTGGACATTGGCCACCAGTATCAAAATCTCGTTGTACAGTAGTGACACTCACAAGGCTAAGAACAGCACACACACACACACACACACACACACACACACACACACACACACACACACACACACACACACACACACACACACACACACACGCACGCACGCACATACTGCACATTTATAGCTGTTGTCTGGTGGAGATGCACCATTGTGTGATAGAACCACTTGAGTTTCTTCCCATTCTCGTCCAGTGCAACGAGTTAGGCTCTTTCATAAAAAAACATCTTTACAGTTTTATATACAGCAGCTTCCACTACATCCTGTCATGATCATCCGTACGCATCCACTTTTTAATTCACGATTACTGTTGTTTACGTTTTGAAATATATATATATAGTTTTGACTTCATATTCCGAGGGCATCTGTAGCAGGACCTCAGTCCTGGAGTGGCGGCTGTGGTGGCCGTTGCCATGAATGCTGCTATTCATTACTGCTATCTATGTAATCACGCCACTCTTTTGATTTTAATACTTACTGGTTTTAGCCCGTCTCAGGGGGCGAAATTTTAGGCACATTCGCGGCAGCTTAACAGCATCATAGCTCATATTCTGTACACACAACGTAAGATAATTAGCCATTACTATTCTCTTATTATTGCCCAGGACACAGTTTGGACAAGCTTAGCCCTTGCGCCATTAAAACCCTCATATCAACATTATCAATAAGATTTTATTGCTGGCGCGTTGCATTCGGTTTTGACCAAGCGGTTATGTCGATAATGTTACTAATCGATGTAGTCGTACGGCCGCTGTGTATCACCGGTCGCGCGCGAAAACATCGTAATACTCAATCAAATGCGAGCGCGCTTATCGAGCGAGATTACACTCAGCGCAAGGCTCTCCGTAGCTATCGACCTGTGGAAAGAGCATGAAACAACGATTAACCTCGACAGCTGCACTTGGTAAATTGTGGCTACTCCCACGGTTCATCTCATTTAATTTTGTTCGCTCGTCAACCAGACAGAAGAAAGCTAGCGCTGTTGCCATATCTGCATTACAATCAGTGCTGGCAGTATTTTGTTTGGGTTTAGAGAAGATGAAACATTTAGTAGAACTCCACTGCTGTGAAGCCTGGGGAAGTACATTGCATGGACACCCAGCGAATCCCACTCGCGAAGTTACTATTGCACCGTTCACGAAAACGTCGATGACGGCAATGTTAGACGTAAGCACGGCTTTCCTGGCACGAGGAGAATTTCGTAAAGGATATCCGTTAACTACGTGCGTGTCATGTGCCCAGCTTCCATGCTTGTTACGGCAGCTGAGGCACGCGTCGTCAGCGTAGAGTTCCGTCGCGTTGTTTCCTCCCATCAGAAGTAGCGAAACAGAAAATGCGACGTGTCGAAGGAAAGGCATTCGCTCACTTCGTGATGTAGTGCCCTCTCTTGCACGCAGCGGGACTCCACCACATTTTCTAGCGAAGTCTTCTGTGATTTGAAGCTCATACTTGTGATTACTTATCGATTATTTTGGTTGACTGTACCTATACTTCAAATTGGCTAGATCACTTCAACCCAATTGTGGGCTCTGTGAGCCTTGTTGTGGCCTATAAAGAGTGTTTTACAGTGAGCGTCGCCCCCCCGCTGTGGTCTAGTGGCTGAGGCACTCGGCTGCTGATTCACAGGTCTCAGGATCTAATCCCGAATGCGGAGGCTGCATTTCTGATGGAGGCGGAAATGCTGTAGGCCCGTGTGCTCAGATTTGGGTGCTAGTTAAAGAACCCCAGGTGGTCCAAATTTCATGAGACCTCTACTATGGCCCACGTATCACTCAATCAATTACTATGAGCGTCGTGGCGGCACATCAGGTGCATGGATTGATTACAATCCCGAACGCACAAGCACTCGGCACTTAAAATATCGTGCCTGCCTCGAATATTTAACATGCAAAACTGAAGCCAAACGCTGTGTTCGTCCGCAAACCATATTTTACACAAAGCAGGGCGTTGTTTAGCTTGGCCTAGAGGTAAACTACTTGGCTGGGAATCAGATGATGGCACCTTCGAATGTGCGCCAGGTAGGCGCAACTGCATTGAAGATATAGGTTGTTTTGCGTTTCATCAGTATTCTCCAGCACCTTTCAGATGCAAGCATTCTACAGAATGCGCCTTATGTCACCGTATCATTACCATCGTTCACCCTAATGATGAATTATGGTGACCACCATTCGACAAGGTGAACATTCTTTCAAGTGGGACAAGATATACTGAATAAATAGGCACATTATATTGCTCAAAATACAACTACTATCGCAACTTTCTCGGTCCGATACGACACCGTTATGCCACCTTTGGTTGGGTGTTGCATTCCCAAAGGTATACTCATTTCGCATCTGTATGGCAGACACCTCTACATGCGACTCCTGCGGAGCTGAAAAGACCATTGAACACGTTCTGCGCAACTCCGCTTGCTATAAGACACGCAGCAATGCCAGCTCCGGATGGTTTTGAACCAACTGGAATCTAGAACATTCTCTGTGCAGAAGCTTCTGGTACCTTGGGCGTGTGCCTAAATTGCGCAGAAAGCGACTGAAGCACTACTACATTACCTGAAGACAACAAACCAGAGTGACCGCCTGTAGAGTGCATGAACTCCCCCGAATGTGCTCGTGATTGTGTGTACCTTTCTTCTCTCTCTCCTATATTTTTCTTCCTTCACCCCTTCTCCAGTACAGGGTAGCGAACCGGATGTGCGTGTGGTTAAACTCTCTGTCTTTCCTTGTCTCTTTATCGCTCTCTCTCTCTCTTGGAAGTCATTGAGAACAAGAGGTAATACACAGGTTAAATTTTATGCAGTGGCCTTAATCAGGGGCGTAGGCAGAATCTTTTTCAGGAAGGGGGGGGGGGGAGGTCACGGAGCCTTCATTCGAATTGGAAGCCGAGAAGACACATGTGGTCTAATGACTGACGTTCAGATGTTCTGCATGCTATGACAAAAGAAATTGCGGGGGTGGGAGGAATCCAAGAGCTTAGACTTCCAGCCCCTGGATATGCCATTGGCGTCAGTACGAGAAAACACGGCGTAATATGTACACCACAGAACAATGTCCATATAATATAGCTAAATACTGATATGAAAAAATAGCGCACAGTCTTAAATTAGAATCTTCTGATTGGGTTCTCGCAGTGCCTAGCCTGTTATATTTTCCTTGAGTACAATGGCACTGAAGCGGTCAAATCATATTTTCTCTTGTTTTTTTTTTCGACAAAGAAGCGCTAGAAGAAACAATATTGTGAAAACAATAGTTTCGCCAGGTATTTTAATCCACTTTTCTTGCTTAACAAAGCAAAAAAAATAATCGAGACAATAAATTAGGCTCTCCATTTTGCGCGTGGCAACTAATCTTAGATTTTGAGAATTTTCGCGTGTTTTCTAAAAAGAATTGGAAACGTAGGGCGAGAATGCTGTGATGTGTGTTTTTGTTTTTTCAGGGCATGGGGCCTTTTACAGGCAAACTCTTTATGGCTAGGTGACAAGGAAATTCGTTTGTGTTAAGTGCACGAGAACTCCTAAGATGTACGTGCCGGAGAAATTAAGCAGGTTCAACTACCCAGCCCACGTCCACTAAATATGAAGCAGGGAATGCACCGGCGGTAAACAGTAATGAAATGAATTAAATTTTTTGTCCAAACGTATTCAATTATTGAGCAAGACTTTAAGGAACTATCCCGATTGATCCAATAATAATAAGCTTTGCCACGAGTTTCAGCTTCGCTGTGTACGTAGTGCATGCCTGGCGTTTTCACGAGAAGTACACATTCGATGACATTCGTACAAGCGTACAGGCTGAGGAATGTCGCTTGCACCACAGACCCCGAAAATAATCGAGAATAGTGAACAGTTGAGGGGGAATAACCTGAAATATCCTGTCTTTGTGATGTGTAGACGTATGCGCTACCTTTGTACATATCACAGAACAATGCATCCAGCTTGAGTCGTCGAAGCGGTATTAAGAGACGCTTCCAATAGGTGAGCCTTTCGTTGTAGAGGAACCGTCGTCCGTGCGACCATCATCGGGCACCCGAATCTGTGACAGCATTCGGGTCTGCTCCCAGTCACCAAATTCTTTCACAGCGTGACATTCATTCATCAGAGTTCGGTGAGTAACAGCTGTCAGTGATATTGTAACAAAAGGTAGTAGTGCGCATAAGCTCCGGCTAGCCCGAAAGCCCGAGCGCGGCCCGGCCGACGGCCCGGGCTCGAATGCGCCAACGTCTTCTCATCGCGGGCCTTGGTCGGGCTCTAGCTACTCCGTTTTTTAATAGAAGTGGCCGGGCGAGGCGCAAAGCCTGAATCAAAGTCAAAGTGTGAACATTGAGCAGCAATTGTTTTGAAAAACGTAACACAATCTCCGTGACTGCATTTTACCATATTTATCGGTTCTCCTGTCCTTTAGCTGCTCTCTGAACGCTAGGGAGAGGATGAGCGACTGTCGAGTGCCTCTGTTCCACTCTGTCAAAAGGAGTAGTAGGTCCACCAGACTATGTGGCAGCCCCACTCAATATTTTCTTTAGCTATACTGGTAAGTCTATAGTTGCCGTGTATGCTATAAACTCGAATGAAGAGTGGATGTGATTCGCGGGCTGTCTTGTGCTTCCTGTTTCCTTGCTGCAGCCATGATTGGTGCAAGAAATATTGTATCGTTTGCCAAACATCGAAATAACGGGCTGGGACTGGTCTTTTCTTGTTGTGCATCGGGCCGGGTCGGGTGGGTTCGCAGTCTGGACCTTTGCCGTAGGACTCGGGTTGGCCTTCATACTCAGCGCCGAGCTCGGGCTTGAAAATGTGGCCCGTGCACTTTTATAGCATTGTAATCACTAAGTGTGAACTGCAGAATAGGGGTTGTGAGCTTCAGGTTTCTTGTGTAACTGCTAACACTGACAGTCCGTAAGGGCCATCCTAATAGAAATATGCTAAGCTGCTCTGTTAAGAACGGGCGCTTTTTATCAATGTGCACTGTGGACTGCGACCACCTACAAGCAGCTATAAACGGTGTCGCTCATAATCATACGGTGGTGTTAAACCCCGCATAACAGTCATCATTACTTAGGTGACGCCGTAGTTGAGGGCTCCGGAAATTTTGACCACCCGGGGTTCTTTAACGTGCACCCAAACCTGAAAACACGGGCCTACAGCATTTTCACCTCCATGGAAAATGCAGCCGCCGCAGCCGGGACTTGATCCCGCAACCTGCGGGTCAGCAGCCGAGTACCTTAGCCACTAGACCACAGCGGTGGGGCTGAACGTTAAACGCTTCTTCCCATCATTGTCAGTCTAGCTACTAGATCATTTCCGGCTGGCAGTATACCAGAATTCCTGAGCAGGACAGTGACACGTGGGAACGTTATCTCTATGCTATATTCACCTTTAATCTTTACTGGTACCTACAGTATCAGTAAAGCGTTTTTATAAGCGTGCGATCTCTGGCACACATTTGCACATCCGTTAGCTTTACCGTATAGCACTTCATTCTATACTCATAAGGCTGCTGTGCATTGCGTTGCAGAGTGGAAATGTTTTCGACCAACCCTTTTAGTGACTGCCTTATTTAGCCTTTTCGGTTTTAGAATTACAGTACCTGTGCATAGTTTGCAATGTGTATAAGGCTTTTTTTTTGGGGGGGGGGGGGGGAATGTAGCCCTTGAAGATATGGTTCGCCGTTTATTTTCCTGTCTCCAGTAAACCAGTAAATGAAATGTACCTTCATGGTATATAGTTCATACAAAGGCGTTTCTCCCACTCATTATTAATAGTTTCACTTCATAATTCACAAGATGACATCAATGGCAGAAATTGGCTCTTCAATCCGAGCTGTTTTTTTGCATCACAGAGATAATATTATCGACATCTGCTCTGTTGCAAGCTTGTGAACTTTTGCCCACTCCTATTTCTCTTTGAATTCATAATACCCAGCAGAGCAGAAAGACGCTCAGACATAAGTGAACAGAAATACCATAAAGTCTGAGGCCATCAAATTTCACTGTTAATTTTTTTATTGAATCGGCATTAGTTTACATTGTCTTGTCTTTTTTATCTGGGACCTACAAGAGTCCTTTTAACCACTGGGTAAATATACATTTTCCTCTGTTGTATGGGCAGCTTCATTCAGTCAAGTTTTACGCGATTTGTTTGGTTTTTTTTCGTTCGCTTTGTTAACATTAACGTATTTACAATTATATTTAATTCACATTAACCCTTTTCTCATTATGCAGCCCAGCAAACATCAATTGTCATGAGAACATCTTAACGTCAAACTCTGTTTAAGAAGGCTACGTGGCCCAAATTTTTCATTTGCTTCTTCCCTAGATGCGCCTTCTCATTCTGTGAAAGTAGAAATGATTGAATGGATCAACTCAATTGGACATTTCCAAACGCGCTTGCGCATGTCCCGTTATTAAGCGGAATGAGACAATGAACCTGTTATGTAGTACTCTAAATCACATTGCTTGATAAATTAGGCAAGAAGTGCATAAAAATTAAACAATTTTTAAAACAGACTTTTCTTTGTTCAGCACGCCTCATAATGGGCAGACCACTTGTAGAAAAAAATTCATCACTTCATGCTTCATGCATTTTCCTAAGCGCACTATTTCTGGCACATCCACCAGTATTACCTGACACTGCCACTCAGTATTACTTTCAGTATTGCTGTCAGTCAGTACGTCAGTATTACCCGAGGTTTACCGACCTACAGCCAGTAAAGCAGATGTGGGATTTTTCTTGTTATTTATTTATTAATTTATTTTCTTTCTTCCTTCCTTCTTTCTTTCTTTTAATAAAATAAAAAATAAACGAAGGAAATTTCGTAACCATTACTTAGCGATGGCTACCCCTTTCCCTTTATGTATGGTTGTTGTGCAATTTTCACTCGTGATTTTTTCTCTTCTACGAACATTCGAACATTCATCCACGTTCTTACCTGCGCGACGCTTGACGACAACGGCGGTTATTTTTATACCCAGGCAATGAAACCTGGCAACGTAAAATGACAAGCAACCTCGATAAAAGAACGCATTGCCACATAAGGAACGCCCGATCGCAGACTAACCCAAAATCAATAGACAATCAGCTATAGTTAAACGGTGCATACAAATTCATAGGTGACCACAGCACTTTATAGGGTCGCTTTTCTGCACTTACGCCGGCGCCGACCCTCTGCACCGCCTGCAACGCTCGACTGCACTTCGAGTAGAAACGCTCTTGGTAACTGGTGGTACCTGTTACTTGTACGGTAAATCGTTAAACTTTTTTTTTTCTAAACACGCTCTTGCAGCTCGTTTATCTGCGATGAAACTTACACGAAGCCAAACCCGCCTCCCAAGTTTTAGCGTTTCGAAGAAACGTTTATTCGAGTAAAGGCCACACCGAGTTTTGCTTCAAAGCGTTCTTACACCTAGCACCTGCGTCGACGCCCGTTTCAGCCGGGTCAACGGCGGCCACACTGTTACTGCTTCGCATCCCGTCATGATTCCCTTCGGGGACATCGTTTATAATTTTCCGTGGCTTTATTGTTTGTGGGAGACGTATCTGCGGCTACTTCTATTCCTACGCAGTTTTACAATGACAAACGCGGGATGAAGGGACATGTGCAAGCAGCCACGTACGTGATACACACGTCAACACCAAATGCCTCTTTATATTTTCTATTTTCCAGTTGTGCGTCTGTGCTACACATAAATGGCCTATGGCGACACACTGCCTCCTACTGATACTCATCCTCGTACCTACGCAGGTCTTGGACGCCGGAAGTAAGTATGACGTTACCTTTCTGCTTTGCTGTGACATGTTTGCGTCACTGAATCCGTAGTTTTTCTTTTATCGTACAGGGCGTATTTACGGTAACTCAAGGGAATCGTGAAAATGAGTCATGGGAGTAAAGCAAGTGGCCTAAACTGAAAACTGTTCGGAATATACCCCTCACTTTAGGCCCAACATTCCGCAGTAGCGGTATTTCGGCAGTTTATTGGGCAAATGTATGTGCTCATTTTACGACCACTACGCTCTCAAGACCAACGTTACTAGAACTAGGTCAGTTTCGGAGCTCCCCGTAGGCGCGCGCTCTCAGAAGTGGCCGTGGTGGCCGACGCGAGAACTAGTGGCGCTGCTGTGCCATTTTGCTTCAAGCCGCGCGCGTCGTCTGCTGCAGCGCGAGTGATTCGCATTTTCGTCGCCGCTCTCGTCAGTAGTGATCACCGAGATTCGCCATTGACACTTGAGCGGTAAACTCAACTACTTCAAAAACGAAAGTTTGTAAAACATCTGTTTCATGATCACTGCTAAAAGCCAGGAGCCTTTCCAATCGGGAAACTAATTATTATTTATTTCTTTACTTATTTATTTACAAACAGTGCCCGGAACGCTGTTTTCGGGCGGAATCGGCTGTGCACGAGAAGCTTGTGTTGGGCGCTAGTTCGCAATACATTATAAAAATAAGAGTGCTTGAAACACAAGACGCCAGGATAGAAGTACACAGGACGAGTTGTTAGTATGCGATCGTCCTTCTATATTGGTGGCTCATCTTAAGCGTAGTTAATTTTGTAATCAGCTGTGCATCTTTCGCGTTCTTTCCAGTGTTCGTCGGCCTGCAAAATTTCCCAGCCAGATGTCCACTGCACTATAATGAAAACACTTTTTAGAAATACAGTTTGCTCAAGGTGGCATTTTTTTATATTGTGTAGTTGTCAGCCATCTTTCTCGCGAGAGAATTCTTTCATGAGGGCATTAAAAAATTGTACTTATCATGCCAACTCTCGCGCGAAAGATGGCTAAAGTATTAGCCATCTTTCTCGAATAATTTCGCTGGGTTATTGCCGAACACTCGTTACATTAGTGATGACATAAATGAAAGCCTTAGCAAATGACGAAGCTCAGCAAGGGTATTTTCAATTCCCTCATTCGAAACTTCGGAAAGCTTTCACTCAAGAGCCAGGATCTCCTTATGTTTTTTTTTCCTTTTTGAGGCAGCCGCACGGGCAAACCTCTTCGGGAGGTTGCGGACTTTTTGTTTTCTGGTTTTCACCACCTTTGAAGGCTTTCTTGCTAGCAGTGGCCTCCGTACAACAGGCAGAGAAAGCTAGTAAGCCCCTTTGTAAACACTGTGCAGTGTTTACGATGAAGACTAATAGTTGTGGGCTCAATCTAGAGCTACCACCTCATTCCATAATAACAGTTTTTTGTAGTAGCAGCTCTTGGTGCAAGATTTCTGCAGTAGAAAAACATCGCACGTCATCCCTGACACGGCATTATCGATTAATTTTTGGCTCCTGCACGCGGAAGGCAACGAGAAGTTCATCGCTTCATTGAGCGTGAACGGTGTAGCTGACGAGACGTCTGATCTGCCCGGAGATGCGTCGTCGCTAAAATAATTCACCAACTCCATGACCATGACTTCCCTATTTCATTTTCTGGCATGAGCTCATCCCTAGCACGTGTGTGTGTGTGTGTGTGTGTGTGTGTGTGTGTGTGTGTGTGTGTGTGTGTGTGTGTGTGTGTGTGTGTGTGTGTGTGTGTGTGTGTGTGTGTGTGTGTGTGTGTGTGTGTGTGTGTGTGTGTGTGTGTGTGTGTGTGTGTGTGTGTGTGTGTGACCTCCTTGCTTGTTCTTGTAGTCACATGTGCCTTCGATATGCACTCTGGCAGACCGAGAAAAAAATTGCCCGCAGCTTCCCTCGGGGGAACACTGAGGAGGATGCGGACCATATAATTGGTTAACGGGGTGTTAAAGTGCGACTTACTTGGGTCGATGGCTAAATTGGTTAACGTGGTTGTGAAATGGGGTGTTAAATTGCGACTTACTAGGGTCGATGGCTAAATTGGTTAACGTGGTTGTAGGAGGGGGTGTTAAATGAGTGAACACGTACACACGTATGCGAAAGGGCGGCGCTGGTCGAAGGGACGTCGATCATTGTGTTTGTGGATTCGTTGGAATTCATTTCACTGCGACCTTGGACGTCGACGCACCGTACAAACCAACCGACGAGCGGCAACTGAGCGAGCGAGCGCCGACCTTGAGTATATATACAGCACGACGGCGCATGCACTGTCAGCTGTTGAATGTTCTCGAAGCGCGACGCCACATGCGCGTCCACTGGAGAATCAGGAGAATTGTAGATGTCGAACGCGGTGTGTAGAGGAGGAAGGGTGCACAGATGGTGGAGGAGTGAAGCGCGCGCGGTGTGTAGAGGAGGAAGGGATGCACAGATGGTGGAAGAGTGGGCGACGGCGCGACGGCGCATGCGCGCGCGTCAGCTGTCGATTGTTCGAGAAGCGGTGCGGACGGCGCGGACGGCGCACTACAAGGCGCGAGTATAAGATGCTCCGCATCTAAAAGCGAGGTAATGTTTTTGGCACTAGCGCCCATTTTCCTCGACGTGGAAGTATTTTATTTCCCATTTATAATGTACTTATGATATTTGACATTATCGTCCGCCTCAAAATGTCACTCACATATAGCGGACTTGTGAGTCAGCCGCCCATCCCTGCGGCACAGCATCTGTGCCCATTTTTAACGCGACAGCGTTAAAGAGTTCGTTTCGCAGAAATTCTCGCGTCGGCGTCGGTTTCGTTGGTTGTGAGCGAAAAACAATCATCTTGGGCGCGACTGGAAAATTGAGCAAGATGCGAATATAAAAAGTTCTGGGTCTGTGTGGGGGTCGAACTCGGGCAGTTTGCGGGGAGAGCGGGGGTTCTACTACACAGACACGCGTGTGCTTTTTAGAACCTTTTTATTCAGAAATAAATAAATACATATTCATAAAAACCATATTGGTTTCCTCGCATCACTTTGACGGTTTAAGAACGGTTCATTTTCACCAATTCATCAAACACCTGCATACAATTTTGAGGTTATATAAAGGTTCGATCTATCTTGCGCACATATTACGCATTCAATGAAGTTTCCCGTGCCGACTTTGCTTTAGGATGCATGTGGCTCACGGCCATACGTTTTATCTAGAGACTGTAAAGGCCCAGTAATCGCGTCATATTATATGGAATACCACCCTCATTCTGTATTGAAATATAACGTATGCCATGAGGTGTTATCGGCAGATATTTCTTCAGGGTCTCTTGTACCACATCCTAAAAGAATATCGGATCCCAGCAGTCACTCGCAGCATGTGCAACCGTTTGCGGCTCGTTACACAGATTGCAGTTTGTGTCCATGCCAGACATAGCCAGGAGGTAGCACACCGGCCCCATGCCCCCCCCCCCCCCGGAAATTTTTTTCGCGATAGCATAGAGAATAACAAATGACCATTTCAAGGGGGTGCCTTGCCCGAAATGAAGCAGGTGCCCCCCGTCCAACTCCCCCACGAAAAAAATTTATGGCTACCCTTTGCTTGACTCGAGTAGATGCGCTGGAAGCAACAGTACCTTCAACCAGTAGTGGGGCACAACCCAACATCAGCCTCCAAACACTCCTTGAAGGACGCGCTTCGTCATCATTCCGTAAATAAGATGAAATAACAATACCCAATTACGCAACATACACGCGATACCCCCCCCCCCCCCCTCTATCTGCGACGCATTTACTCGACTTCTTTCCGCGGGAACATGCGAGTGGCTTTTTTTTAAACTCGTCGCGATCCCAGGGTGGCTCAAAGAAATCATGATCAATGTCATTTCCGTAGCCGCGTTTGCGGCCCGGGGCACAACAATAAGGCATTGTTTATTGGCGCTCTTGTCACATGTTAGAACTTTCGTAAGGAACGACAGTTCCCTAAATAATGGCGCGAAGAAGCAACCAAGCGCCGAAAACGTGTTGTCGTGTCTAAGCGGCAACACGCGCGTCGCGACGCGCGGCGTGGTATGTGAAGCAAGGCGGAACAGCAGCGCCATTAGTTCACGCGTCAGCCGCTCGTGCCGGCGCGCGCGGGGAGCTACGAAACTGACCTGGTTCTAGTAACGTTGCTCAAGACTCCTTTGTTAACTAGAAGCACCACCTCTTCTGAAACGCATAGATCTTGTAAGGCAACGTTCTGGCTGCAAGACACTTCTTTTACATACCGAGACTCTGTCCCACAACAGAGGTGAGACTAATGATGATAAGTGTGTACATATGATAAGATGACGCGTTTAAATAATGCTCACACTTATCCCCCCCTCCCATCCACGTCGAGAAGAACGTCGAACGAATGAGTTCATACGCGATACGCGGATGATCTCCGAACCAGGACAACGAGGTCGATGGTGAACGTCGTTGAACGGCCGTACACGAGGTAGAAAGGCGAGTAGCCAGCAGTTCTTTGAACAGGGGTGTTATGACCAAACGTCACAATATCGATAATACATTTGAAGAAAGCTCTACCGCAGAGGCGAGAAATAACACTAACGTTAAAGTAACAGCGGTTGGCGTTCCTATACAGCGGCGTCCATGACGCAGCGACCAGCCATCGTTAGACTTGCTGGGTGATATCAGAAAGGAACAGTCAACACGTACTGCTTCGACTGCTGCCAGAGCTACAACACAGCACGTGGTCATCTAACAATGACAGGCTTGCCAAGTAATCATAGTCATTGTAATATAGTAAAGTGTTACAGTGGAATATTTGTAGTGTACCGGAACAAACGCCACATAAGGAAAGTGTTCCAAATTGCGTCTCTTTTCAGAAGACCTCGAAACTCTTAGTTCGTCACTTAAAAAATTCGGCAGATCCCACGTACACAGGAATCGATGCCATGCGGATGTAACTTGGAAGGTGATAGTGTTGTAATTTTAATTGATCTATACATATGAAATTATGCTAAATATATGTACAAAAGTTGCAGGCACAAACATAGGTTGAAGAGTGGAAGATGTTTATAGAACCAGTTGTTATTATTGTGCAACGATGTCAGCAGGAACATGAGTATCAGCAACATCAGAAGCTATTAGCTGATATGAAAGCTGGTGCTCGTAAGAATGGAAAGCCTGGACACTGCTACATAAATAAACTTCAACTGATGGCACCTTACTACAACTCACGTTATCGTTATTTGAAGGCTGTATCATAGCAGTACACATGTAATGTTCATAAAGTTCTACAGAGCTGCGAGCCCCACCACGGTGGTCTAGTTGCTAAGGTACTCGGCTGCTGACCCGCAGGTCGCGGGTTCGAATCCCGGCTGTGGCGGCTGCATTTCCGATGGAGGCGGAAATGTTGTAGGCCCGTGTACTCAGATTTGGGTGCACGTTAAAGAACCCCAGGTGGTCAAAATTTCCGGAGCCCTCCACTACGGCGTCTCTCATAATCAAATGGTGGTTTTGGGACGTTAAACCCCACATATCAATCTATAGAGCTGCGACCACAATTCCCCTTTAGCGAGCATTAGGGTCTACTTGAAAAGTTTTTCTGAGAACTAGCGTAGCTCTGTGGTAGAATGCTTGATTGCCACTCATAATGCTGGGTTCATTTTTACCTGGGACCTTGATATACATTCTTTGCATTCGTCGGGTCAACGCTGCCGCTCCCAGCTTTTTGTGAACACTCCCACGTTAAAATTGTCCATATGTGCTCTCACTGTACGTCGGTAGACTGTATTCTAAGTGTCAATCACTTGTGACACATACCCACATACCAGTGCCAAATAATAGCCTGCGGGTATGTGCCCCTGTCAGCCAGAAAATGTTTGACGACGTACGCGTCGGGATCGTGGTAATATTCATGTCTTCCCCAGCGCGTCATACTCACCAAACCATCTGACCCTACCATAATAATATTGGTTCACGCCATGTTATGGGTCTGAGCACACAGACGTAAGCAGATAGATAGATAGATAGATAGATAGATAGATAGATAGATAGATAGATAGATAGATAGATAGATAGATAGATAGATAGATAGACAGATAGCTGGACAGACAACGGACGGACGGACGGACGGACAGGACAGACAGACAAACAGGCAGGACAGACGGACGGACGGACGGACGGACAGACGGATGGACAGATGGACGGACAGACGGATAGATAGATAGATAGATAGATAGATAGATAGATAGATAGATGCCAGGAGTGCTCGCAGTACGCAAAGAAATGCTTCACATTTGCAAAACCCGATATTTTTCGCATGCAAAAGAGTAGAACCTTGAGTATCAACCGTGTTTTACATGCCACGAAAATGATTGGCATGTCTGCAAATAACTTTTTCGCCAAAGATATTCCAGGAAGAAGTTGTCGACATGACAAATCGAGAGCGACGAATTGTACTTACAGTGCCGTGAACAGACAAGTACTCCCGTAATCAAAAATATACGGAATTATGTCATCGGTATACGTTCACCGTCGGCACCGTGTAGAGGCGAGTAATTCACTGTCAAATGCGTTTCTCTGACGAATTCTGTCACATTCAGGCTCTCGACACCAGACGGCGTAGGCTGTGATTTCCGCATCGCGCGCCCGTCGTTCATATACTTTTGATCAACGCTGTACAAATGAACTCTCTACAAAAATTTTCATTATCATGAATGCTCCGCGGGTAAAAACTCACCATCTCTTTACTGCTCTCGCGTATGGGTCCAACGCAGGAGAGGGGGAAAAAACTGGGTGGCCAGATGCGGTTAGGAAGCTTGCAGGTGTAAAGTGACAGTAGCTAGCACACGACTGGGTTGACTGATGGAACGTGGAAGAGGCCTTTGCTCTGCGATGGGCATAGTCAGGCTGATGACGTTCATGGGACACTATAGTGTGAGCTTATAACAACTACGTTTCCTCTTTCTCCCGTAGATCCAACGGCACTTAAGTTGTTGAGAAGACTGTGGAGATACAGCTGCGAAGAGCCGATTAATGAACCAGTGGGCGATTGCACCGCAAATATCAACAAGTACTTTTTCAACCATACTGCGAAACTGTGCCAGAAATTTTACTGGAACGGCTGCTTGACGAGAGGAGTTTACGAAACCCGCTACGCATGTGCCCTCAATTGCAATGAAGGTAAGTATTTGGAAACTTATTACAGGGGAGCTGCATATGACACTCCTCATTGATATCTGCTTTTCCCTCGTCATTGTTGAAAGTTATCGCTTGTGTGGTTTTCCCGTGTCGCGCCCTCGTCTGTTTACGGCTGAGCTTCACTTTATGAACAAGGATATACGACCTGCCGCTAGAGCCTTCGGATAACGCGATCCTCTTCATGTATTCAGGTACATGCGTGGACTTCCCGGGCAACTCCGAGCTCCTTAGAAAAGAATTGGCTACGAGGTGCCAGTTGGTGAAAAAGACATTTGCCCACCCGCTTTCATAGCCACACCTCCAGACTGGCTGACACTTGCAAGTTTACGTACGAAAAAAAAATATCCGATAATGTCTACGGGAGAACGACCGCCCCTGTACCTTAATAGGTAGAGCTTCGGACTCATTATTCGATGCATGTGTTTTCGGTCCTACGGGCGCAAAGTGGTTGGTTCGTCCATATAAAATTTTTCGCAATAATTACAGCCCTAACAAGTTAAATGACTGCAATCAGCGTCCCCTAGAGTTTCCTTGGCTTCATCGTCTTTCGTTTTCAATAAGCTTTGGCCCAATAAAGAGAAACGTGCCGTTGGTCAATCCCGCTTACCTTATTCACGTGTGCGATTATGCGCACGAAATATGTAGGCCCGCGTTTATATCTTTGGATAATTGCGGTTATAGTGAATCACGGCGTTATTTCTCTTCGTTCTTGTACAGGCGAACCTCCCTTGTACTGTGCTTCTAAGCCTCCTTGCGAATGCAATGGAGACCAAAAGTCAATGAGTTGGGGACAACGTCATTACGAAATTGACGTGTTTTATTATGACATTAACGAAAGAAAATGCAAGCCATTCAAATACTGTGGACCACCACTACCACCAGAATCAAATATGTTCACAAGCATGACGTTGTGCATTATGGAATGCGAGTAAGTTTTTTTTCCCCCTTTGTGTAAAAGCAAACTGTGAATTGCAAAGAAAAGCGTCACGACTAGCGATGTTTACACAAGTGAAAACGTTGGTATATCGCAATCGTTATACGTTTGATTAGAGACTCTAGAGAGTCAATCAGACAAATACAAAATTAAAAAAATGCTCTCATAGTAAAGTAGATGTCGTCTCCGCGAGCAAACTTTCAAATCGATGTAAACGTTACCTTAGAATAAGGAATGAACATATATGATGTGGGCTGTTATTATCAATTTTAGGGCAGATTTCTATATTTAAAAAATGCAGATCCCTCATACCTTGGGTGTGAACAATATGCGAAGCATGCGCAGGGAAGGTGACCGCGTTTTGGTTTTTTAATGAGCGACATGTTATGAGACGACGCTCAATACGTGGACAAATGTTTCACGCACAAGCATATGATGAACAATTGCAGATATTTATATAACCAGTTGTTTGCACTTGCACAACGATGCCAACTGGAACATGCGCAATAGCAACGCCATGCAAAGCTGATATGAAGCGCTGATGCTCGCGAGGATGCTGGCCCTGGACACTGCTACATAATCAACTTTAGCGAATGTCAGGTAACTATAACTGACGTTTACCAGATGTGACAGGTGTACCCTGGGAGTACATATGTATATTTTATAGAATTGGATATTCCAGCACTGCAACCACATTTGACGTTTGCTTGAACATAATGAATTGAACAAGTGAATATTATGATCTGTTTGAAAAGCAGTTCTGAGACTTGGCGAGAATGCGTGGTAGAATATTCGATTGCCACGCAGAATGTTGGTGTTTGATTGCTGCTGTGACCCTGTCATTTATTATTTGCATTCGTCGGGCTAAGGCTGCCGATGCCAGCTTTTTTTTTTTACTCTTTCATGCACAGAACTTCAATTTCGGCATAAACAGAGTTTTGTTGAAGAAACACTGAAATATTTTGCAGCTGATTATTTTTTAAGAAACGAAAACATTCTCAATATTAGTTCAAAAACATGAGGAGGTCACCTGAGGTGACCATCATGCAGTATAGGTCTACTGGTCTCTTTCAGTAATAGTATATCTCTTAATTTCTCTATTTCTTAGCATTAGCTACTCATACAACATGCTCCCCTGCCCTACAAACATATCAAGAAGAGCACATACCTTTATATCTATTAAATGATATCGGATCTACCATCTAAAGCGCCTTGAGGACTATGGCAGCCTGAAGAAAGCAAATGTACCATGTCACAGTGAAGCCCATACCAAGTAGCATTTCTCTCTCCTCATTGCCGAAAGCTTTAAAATAAATCCGACACGCGGGACTCACGTTTTTCAAGAGGGAAACCATAAAGAAAAACGTGGTTACCAGGGGTGATCACTGTGTTGGAAAGAGTTAACACTCACGCATTAAAATTACCCATGTGTGTTCTCGCCGTTCCTGGGTAGATACTGTCTCAAGCATCTGTGACACATACCGGCATACCAGTAACACATACCCGCCCGCGGGTATGTGCCACTGTTTGGCGGAAAGTGTTTGACGACGTACGTGATGGGATTGTGGAAATATTCATGTCTTGACCAGCGCGTCATTTTCGTCAAAACATCTTACCCTTCCATACTAATTTTGGTTCACGCCAAGTCAGGGGGGTGATCACAAAAGCACCCAGACATAACCGGATGGATAGATAGATAGATAGATAGATAGATAGATAGATAGATAGATAGATAGATAGATAGATAGATAGATAGATAGATAGATAGATAGATAGATAGATAGATAGATAGATAGATAGATAGATAGATAGATAGATAGATAGATAGATAGATAGATAGATAGATAGATAGATAGATAGATAGATAGATAGATAGATAGATAGATAGATAGATAGATAGATAGATAGATAGATAGATAGATAGATAGATAGATAGATAGATAGATAGATAGATAGATAGATAGATAGATAGATAGATAGATAGATACCGAAAGTGCTTGCAGTGCGCGAAAAAGTGCTTCGCATTTAAAACGTCGGGTGGCGTCACAATATATCTAGTTCTGCATACTTGCTAACAGGCAAATGTGATTTTGTGCACCCATAGAGACCCGAAGCTCAAGTTTTTCGAGCGATGATAACGCCGCGCTGCTGCTCTAGCACCAAAGCCTGGAGAAACTTGGGGATAAACGCGGCAGAGGGAGTGGCAGCCGACCACGGCGTGTGCATGCCTTTTTCGGCGAGAACTTTGGTGTCGTGATCTTGGCATGCTGAACCGAGAGGCTTGCTTTGCGAATCTGTGTTTCCGCGGTGGCAGTAGCGTCCCCACGAAAGCAGAAGCGAGGTCCGAAGCATTCTTATGTGCCGCGACAGTGGATACAGTACCAATGAACGCAATGCACCTGTTAAGCTGCAAATGTTATCGGACAAGTCGTAGAAGAGAGAAAGTACACAAGCTGGAACACCGCCATCAAAATATAAAGTAAGCTCTAGGTCTCTCTCGTATTTCGTTTTGATAGTCTCCATTCTTTACTCCAAATTGTTTCTTTCGACTACCTGAATCAGAATGCTCGGGGCTGTGTTTATCCCTCGGTGACCGCTCTCTCTCTGACTGTGCATGCAGCATCTCTCCCCCTATGGGATGGACGAGGTGGCAGAGTGCTTCATCTAAAGCCCAGAAGCTCTAGGGCACAGAGTTAATATTCTGACTCTAGAGAAAAAGCTGGTCCGTAAAAGGTACAACCACAAAAGTGCTGACTTCTTGGATCTTTGTCATTGTTGTCATCACAGTACTTTAAAGAAGCGCTAAATTTTAACGTTTAAAACACTCAGTTTGTCACAGTATAAATTGTAACAAGCGTGTTTACGTATTATAAATAAACAAAATTGTGTAAAATGTATATAAGTTAGTTTTAGCAAAGATACAATGGCCATTTGTTTATTTTACTTAAGCGCGGAAAGGAGTGTATGCAGGGTTTCTTCAATAGATGGCGCTATCATCCTTATAACAATGCGAGCGTGGCGATGCGGCGCGCGGCCGATTGAGCCGACTTGCTTGCGTGCTGGGTGAGTCGGTATCCGTGTTTTCTGTTGCTATGAGCCAAAAACTCGACTTCATGTGACAGTCTCTTACTCCGATGTAATAGAGATTTACAAAACAGAGAAAATGTCAGGTCTAATTGCAGCACGCACTGGCGACTGCGAGTGAATGTCACCCGAAAGCCGAGTATCGTTCCACCATGGCGGCAACCGAGTGGTTATGGGTTTTAATGCATGGTCCTTATGGGGAGCTTTTCCTCTAGAGTCTATATGTTAAGTCTATGTTCTAGGGGCTTTAGCTGTTTCCGCTTCATCGCTCTACTACAGCTATGCGCTCGCATATAATGCTGCAGTCTAGTGGACTGTAATAATGCTGCATTCGCTTGCACCGTGGCGCTCTCCTAGCTGCGCTGGGTGTTCGCTTTGCGGCACACATACAGTAATACACACAAATAGGAAGGGGTAACTTAAACAGTGCACAACCCATACACAACTCCACACACAATTGAAACATACACGAAAGCATAAAATTGGAAACACACGTGATCACCAGTGCTGATTCGCATCCCCACGTGGTTTCCTCTATAGTGAGAGATGGTGTAATGTTTAGTATAACTTGACAGACGTAGAGACAGAGAGACAGGCAGACGGACAGACGGACTGATAGACGCTTTGCCCCACTCATCATCATTTGCTCCGTGGATACGCTGTGACTTTTTTTTTTCTGGCGCCAAACAATCTCGCACAGCTTTGCCCTCACACAAAAAATGTGAGCAGCAGGGAAGGATGCTCAAGAAAACATGCCTCACCTTTTATGGAATGTGTGCAAGGAGTGGTGTACGCCATACCACTATCTTGCGGAAAGATGCACGCAGGGCAACGGGCTGATCCTCTAGTGACTGGTTTGGGAGAGTGCGCTAAATCTAAAGGAAGTAGACTGTGCCAATATTGCTCCCCCCTGACAAAACTGCATGCGTCAACTGATATTTCTTTAAGGAGAAGATCTTTGGGAGGAATGCCATATAAAAAAGGGAGTAATTGCGCCAATTAGGTGTGCATATGCCTGTACAAGAGCGAGGTTAGGTATCATTGATGTCATATGTCCTTAGCGTGATAAGTTGTGTTGCATTTATAAGCGCTCAGAACGTCATGGGTTTTTCTGGTTGTGAGGATGTCACGGGTTTTTCTCAGTTGTGGGGACATGTCATTATGGTTTTGTGGAACTCCTGACGAATACAGGAAAATCAAAAGAAAAAAATGAGTAAGACGAACAAACCGGAACCATTCTATAAAGTTGACTGAGGACTAAAAGAAATATGGCTTCTGTGTATATTGGCCACGTCAAACATTCTCAGAATCGCACGACTGCTGAAAAACCCTGCTTGAAAATTTCGTTGATCTCCAATCGCTAATAGACTGAAATTACAACGAAAATCCATTAACATATGTTATATCCATATAATAGTTAAACCTAATGCAACAATACACTTACGCTGAACACTACGAGGTTAAATTATGCACATGTGCACCGTGTTTTGGTCACTTGCCAGGTATTGTGCCAAATCTTAGCACTATTCACGAGACTGATTATCTCGCTATGACCTTATACATAGATGTATATTTTACATTAGACGGAACGTTTCTTCGTCCTCATTCGCATATCTTACTCATTAGCTTAGTACTAAACACATTTGTAATACAATCAGACAGACGCCTCCCGCTATCGTGCTGGCGCTAATTCGAACGCGAGTCATAATCATCACCGCCACTACGTAATCGCCAAAAAGGGCATTGCGAAAGTAAACCTACTGGCACGAGATAAGTATTCATGATACTACGCTCATTAAATGGCGCTAATGATAGTCCATGTTATCGGATTAGGAGTCCACGCCATGCTCTTGAACATAAAGCGGCGTTCACTTGCCCAACAGGTTAAATTCTCTATTCAGCAGGAGTGTCACAGTAAAATGTAATGGACCTCTCATATAATATTGTTTGTTGAATAATAGTTTCGCATCATGAATATTCAAATCGTCTCCACACGTGACAAAGTTTTGTGTATGAACCTTACAAATTTGTAGTAATGAAGACAAAATGAGCTATTCTTTTTCCAAGAGGGATTCTTCGACGGATAGTCTGTTCTTTCAAAAAGTAATGACGTAATTGTGCTTATTTACGCACGAAAGTATGGACAAAAACATCATGAGTGGGCGTTATCGCTAACCAATCAGCACAATGGTTGTAATAAGGCTTAAGTCGTATCACGATATCGAAGCATTAAATATGCGTAATATATAAGCGGGGGTGTGGCACATGGAGTGATATATGCTCACATTATTTAACAAGTGATTGCGGCATTAAATATGGAGTATAGACAAATAGCATGAGTGCCTTATCAAAAGGTTTTTTAGTTTTTTTTTGGTATTGAAGCACATCCACCTGGAACACAACAAACTCAGTTTTACATTTTTTTTCTGTCCGATAAGCACGAAAAAAATCAAAATACTAGAGCGCTTTGGTCTAATCAACGTCTTTCTTCCTGTCTTTTCCAGGGGATTTCCTTTCAGCAATGCCGAGTAACAGATGGACTACAGGTATTGCACAAATGCTGCGCAGCATTGCAGCTGTGAAACCACGTACAAAATGTGCAAGCATACATCGGGTGCACTTCAACCGCATATACCTCAGGCGATTCCCGGACGCTGGCTATATTCTGTGTAACGATGAATACGCAGACACGGGATACGTCTTTTTGAAATGCCCGCACACTACACGGCTTTTCGATCACCGAAAACCCGGACCTCCATGAGACGCGTTAGCTCAACGTTCTGGCCAGCTCAGAACTTGACGAACTAGCACGGACTGCTGGGCGAGATGGTAATTCATCTTAGCAGAGCGGCGCGAAAAAGTTAGGGTACAAACTTTTGGACAGACGGTGTGTTGTAGTGATAATATAATTGTGGATCACAAAGCTTCTCTAAAGGAACAACCGGGCTCTTCGTTTGCTGATATGGTAGTACAAGATAGATTCCAGGACAGCGTAGCGCGGGAAATCGAAGAGGCGTATTTTATCAACAAAGCTAGCGAGTCATGTGTCGCAAAAATCCTTGATTGTGTTGGTTGCCACTGAGGTATTTTTCCTGAAATCGCATCATGAATACAATCTGTCTGCTCATCTTATCATTTCTTTCACTGTGCGTGTTCTTGTAAACACCTATATATGTGTCTGTTTTTCGCAATAAAGTTTGAGTTAATGTGCTCTATGTCCATGTGTCTTCCTCTGGTACTTCAATTTTTTTTGTGCAACTCCGTGAAGTTGAAAAACAAGTTTGGGCCATCCAGCGAGCCCGGAAAGTGGCGGAAAGGCTAAACCTTACCACGACAATCCTTGTGGCGTGTGCCCTGTCGCTGATCTGCAGGTTTAAAAAAAGAAGTTTTGCCCATTTCATTCCATATCGGGCGTACTGAGGTGTTCTCATGGTGAACTCTCGTGAACTTGCTAACACCTCTGGGTCATTTCATGCGAAACCTCCCAGCCAGTTTAACGACCATCTTAAATGTATTTTAAAAAAAGTACTAATTTATCGCATCGAAAACAGTGAAACAGTAGAATATTCCTGAGAGAAAAAAAAAAATTTGGTGACGTGGCTGCCTTCTGAACTTCCCAGAATGTTGTTTGGCTGTTGTTTTCGGACAAATTCATTTTAATAGTACCGCTTCTTCTTTCTATACCAAAATTTGTCTACGTGTTAAGTAAAGGCTCCTGTGTAAGGTGTTTGAAAATCATTAAGGTAGGTAATAAACTTTATTAAGGATTCAACGAGGAATTACTGGCCCGGGCTAGGCCTCCAGGAGCTGTCGATGGCGGAGCAATATGCGATGTCCTCGGCGATAGCCCTGGCTCACTGGATAGCCCAGATTTAGTCCACTGCACGTGGGCTGAGAAGGGCAACTCGCCACCGTTCAGCCAGTCGTCCTGGGGTACACTCACGCTCGTCCGAGTATAAGTGGCGGTGAACACTGCACTCACACTCCCAAAGTATATGCGCCATGTCGGCTGTCTCGTGCCCGCACTACAGACAACCGGGTAATACTAGTGCAATTTTTCTGGCAGATATGGCTCCGAGAATTTCGCCAAAATGTGTTATGTTTGTATTCTTCTTTTGTAATACTGCACTTTGTATGAATATAGTAGTACTTCACAAACGATATATTTTTAAGGGAAAATATTTCTAGACCACTCAAGCTGCTAAATCTTACTGCAAAAGTGCAATAATTAGACAAAATTGTCATTTTTGTCCTTGTTGGGACGTAATTTGTACCATATGCATGGTGGTCTGATTAAAAATCGCTGCTGAAAGGGAGAAAATGTTTTCAGGAGATGCATTTCAAAACTGATATTTTTGCTCACTTTAAAACTCAAAGTCCTGTCCCGGTAATCACGGGATTTTGCCATAAGCCTCTCCTACACATTCACTGTTCATTGGTATGTAGCTCGTTAGATCTCTATATTAGAATGAGGAAGCACTCGTCAAGAAGTTTGTCTGCATGACCCTCAATCCCGCTCAATACAATGGCATACGTCTATAGTTACCGGTGCCTGCAGTACGTTGCACATTCCCATATTTCACTCGGAAAATAACTAACCGTCCTTGGATCACACAAAACGCGTTCCACGCTTACGTACGGTGTCAGAGTTCGTGACCTCAGTACGGGTGTCTTAATTTAAAAAAAAAAAGCACTGTGACAAGCGACTATACTGCATGACCAACCTACGCTGGAAAGCATACACTGCTAGTTTGAAGCAAAATATTTTGTAATTGTAATATCCCTAAATTGGCTGAAGGACGTGCTTCAAAAATGCTTGTGGCCTTCTTGGTAACTTTGTTTCAGGGCGGCATATGTGTGACACCCTCCATCTTCTAGCTCTCGGTGTCTTGCACATCCCTACAGAGAGCGCATTCCCCGGTAACTTGACGATAATTTTGAAATAAAATTTCAGAAAACGCACAATTTCCTGATTCATGCAATCCCCAACGTCTGCTTGACATTTCGCCTTATAAAGAGGGCCTATTTTGAATAAAACAAAATTCAACGACGCCTCTATACAAAGCCTACGTTTAGATTTGCTGTTCATGGTGGGTGTAACTAATTCAATTGTTTATGGTATATTCGAGTTCTGCTGGCCACGGCTATTCAACAACATGTCAAGGTAAAGTAAATTCTGAAACATTTCCGGTTAAACATGGCTACAAAGAAAAAGGGCTTCTTGTTTCTTCAGTTAACTGCCATCTCTGTGATGTATAGGGGACAACGGAACATTGCTTTGCTAACTGCAAGGACGCCCATTGTTCTCTCAGAGATGCTTCCGCAAACTCGAAACAAAAAAAAAAGACGGGATTCATTCGTACAGTGCACCGTACGTTTCCCGACATTTTTGGATGATACGTTCCTGATATATTGATAGGTATTTTTATAGCTATGCACACCTTGTGGTATATCAGAATGCAGGAACGTTTCGCGGAACAGGCGATATTTTGAAGCCCGCATTTGATTGAAATAGCCATTAGCAGGGTTGCCGTTGGGTAGAGTTGAAAGGAAGCTAGAACTCAAGCTAAATGTAGTCAAAGTTGCCACGCTGTTTAGCTTTATCTCCACGTTTGTAGCCTCGTAGAACAAAGCATTATTGTTATTAAAGCTTTATCATTTTTATTTAACGTACTTTGAATACGTCAAAATAAACCTTAAATTGGGAGTGCACTTTTACCTCTAGCTTGGCCTCCAAGGCATGTATGAGTTACACAAAAATTTAATATTGGTTAAGTAATTTCCTGCCATTTACCACCAGGCCATGGATCATTACAAATGCAAGAAAGTGCAGAAAGCGCGAAGAGAAAAAAGGAACAAAACACAGCGAGTAAAGATGAGCAATGAGGAGACCTCCACCAACTTGTGTAACTGTGGTTGCTGCCGCACGAAAACGACGATTATCACGATTTGAACGGTAACGAAGCTGATTTCACTCATTTGCTGCGCTTGCTAGAAAATGCTCAGAATTTTTCAAAATGAAATGTCGCGCTCATGGCAATTAACATAATGAAGGGACATGCAGCGCGATAATAAAGTAATTGTCGTCAAGGGCGCTTATGTGGTGTATTGGTGTATCGAATAAATTCAAGTGGCACTAAATTCGACGCGTTGTCAGAGAGGGCATAAAAGGCTGTATATAGTGGTCGTTACACAAGCAGTGCGATTTGAAAAAGAAGAATATTGCACTCTTCTACGAGCGTATAATTGTTAAAAAGTGACGGGTTGTAATACAGCGCTTTTCAGGCGCTTAATAGGAAGGCTGTGTTTCGGGCAACTCGAATAACGTTCCATTACCTGACTATATGTTCTATAAACCGCTTTTTGCATTGGGTGGCACGGCAACTATGTTGTGTCGGTTAGTATGGGTTCAGTGCTATGTCGTGTAGAGCTCTTCTTGGATACAGAGTGATTTTGGAGCATTTCTGGGTAGAAGACAGTGGGAAAGAATTAGAAATGTTCGAGTGGTTTTCTCTTGAAGACGCCCACGGAAACTGGTTATTTACCTCAACATATTATTAGGCGAAATTCATTTTATTTCAAATGTTTCCTTTTTGTATAGATGTGACGTATTAATAGCATTAACAACTGACGCCCGAGGAGACATCAATAAGCGCCAATACGCATGCAACTTCGCCACTCCCTCTTTGCAGACACGCCATACGTTGTCTGGACGCGCCTCGATGCGCCGCAGCCTGCTTCTGGGAGAGGACATGTGCGAGAGTAGGGTGACGCGACATCAAAGGTTAGAAACAATGGGCGCTCGTTAGAGTTTCGTTCTTTAAAGACAATAGTCTGTCTTGGGGACCTTTGACGCAAAAATTTTGGTCTGTCTGTCTGTCTGTCTGTCTGTCTGTCTGTCTGTCTGTCTGTCTGTCTGTCTGTCTGTCTGTCTGTCTGTCTGTACATTTGTCTGCTTGTCCACTCTTACCGCCATCGGGTACTCAAAATGGCCTACCCCATTCGCAGCCACCACCAATGTTGCTCAAGGTTCATCATTCATGCTTGTGAAATTGTCAATTAAAAGGCAATTATTGCGCATGTCTAGGGCATCATAACAACATGCATATATTCTGCATATGCATCTCTTACTAGAAAACGCATACATAATTAACTTTAAGTACTGTATCGCTTATCACGCTGCGCTGACCATGCAACGCTTGCACGGAACGGGGAGTGTTTCCAACGCTTTGCTAAGACGGGACGGTGGTGGCACCTACCCGTCGCCTCGCGTTCTACACCTTATCCCCTCTGAGACGGGCGCGCCCGGCCACGCGCTTTGGTTTCCAAAAGAAACTGCCAGAAGGCGCTTATGTCTCACGTGTGACGTGACTTGATGCGCTCGTTCGCCTCCGCTGCACGCTCTAGGCACTCTAACGCAGCGCCTCCAGAATACCATTCACCAATTTTCTCATTTTTTTGTCATTCATATAACAACAATCTTGGCTTTTAAAAGCTGCATCGAAAGGGTAGCCATGGCGCGAACCTGAAATTTCAGTAGCGATACAGGGACAT